TGGTAAGTGGTGGTATTATATAGAAGTGTTTTTTCCTTGATTGATATATACATGTGCAACCTACCCCCCCCCTTCATTCAAAATAGGTTGGCGGAAGTTCATAATGAAAAGTTTGAGGCAATTAGAGTTAGGGCGGGGTTGGAGGATGTTTTAAGGGGGATAGGCCATTGGGTTTTGTACTAAGGAGGTTTAAGGAACGGCAGGCGAAAACCACCTAGGCGTATATTGAGGCAGGTACAGGGGGGGGAGGGTTTGAGAAGGGTCAAGGCCTATCCACCACGGAAAATATTAGTTTGTATGCTGATTTTTGGTTTAGGGAGAAGTGGAGGAGGGTTGGTGGGGGAGTGGGTGAGGGACGTTTTGGGGATGAAGGGTTTAATAGGGTATTAAGTGAGCAGGACAGCGACAGACTCGAGAGTAGTATTAGTGTAGCGGAGGTGGAGGAGGCAGTTTTTGGGCTGTGCCAGGGTAAAACCCCAGGCATAGACGGCATACCAAATGATTTTTATAGGTGTCATTGGGGGAGTGTACAGCATTGTCTGGTGGGGGTTTTGAATTGTATGTTAAGTAGTGGGAGGATGGGAAAATCGCAAAAAATGGGTGTCACAGTTTTAGTGCCCAAAAAGAAGGAATGCCGAGTTTTGAATGATTACCGTGCGATTACATTAATATGCTAGGATTACAAGATTTTTGCTAAGATTTTGGGCAACAGAATGAGGAAAGTGTTGGGTTTAGTGTTACATAGGGGGAAGTTGGGAATACTGGGGAGAAGGATGAGGGATGGACATGGTTTTATTAGGGATTTTCTAGAGAGTTGTACGGGAGGGGGAATACTAGGTTTAGATTGGGAGAACGCATATGATTGCGTGGACAGGGATTTCTTAGGGGTTTGCTTAGAGAGGTTGGGGTTTCGGGAGGGGGTAGTGAGGTGGGTGAACACCCTGTTTGCTGAGGCGGAGGTGAGGGTACAGGTCAATGGGAGATTGGGTGAAAGTGTACTGATGGAGAGAGGTTTGAGGCAGGGTTGCCCGCTGTCGCAGCTGCTCTTTGCGTGTGTGCAGAATCTTTTCTATGAGTCTGTTGAGCGGGTGATGGACAAACAGGAGATGGAGGGGGGTGCAAAGGGGGCATCGTTGGGTATGTGGATGATACTACTGTTTTGCTATGAGGTAAGGAAGAGTTAAGGAGGGTGGGTAGAATGATTCAGATGTTTAGTATGAATACGGGGATGCGGGTTAATATGGTGAAATCAAGGTTACTAGAGGTGGGTAATTGGATAGGGGGGGCTTGGGGATGGGGTTAGGATGTACAGTGGTTGACAGAATCAGGGTATGTGGGATATGATATATGGCGGAGGTGCAGGCATGCAGAAGGGTAAATTCGGAGTCTGTCACGGGTAAGGTTTTAGGTAGACTAGGAGGTTTAAGTGCGAGGGACCTAGCTTTACATCAAAGGGTAGTGGTGGTAAATTCACTTGTCTATAGCAAGGTATGGGGGGTGGCAGAGGTTTTTCTCTTAGAGGTACGAGATATTGTGGAAATGCAGAGGAGGGTACTAAAGTTTGTGTGGGGATTTGGGAGGGCATGGTTAAGTAAGGAGGTAGTTATGACGGATGTTCAGAGAGGGGGTTTAGGTTTGTTGCCTTTAGGACTGAGAGTAATGGCTGTATATATCAAGCAGAGGTATATTAGGGAAGGGGGTGTGAGGGGAGTTAAAGTAGGAAGAGTTATGGAGGAGGCACGTAAATGGTGGAGTGGGAAGGATTTTAGGTTTTGTGAAGATATGTTGAGATTTTTATTGACAGTGCAACAGGTGGATAACATCAAAGTGAAAAGGTTGGTGAGGGTAGTGAGAGGTCAGGGAATTATACAATGGGTAGCCGTGTATCCAACGTATGATTCGGGGGTTATTTGGAAAGATTTTAGTAAGCTTATGATACCGGCTAGAGTAAGAGAATTAATGTATTGTTTCATCATGGGGATTCTGGCTTCCAAGGAGGTGTTAAGATGTATGGGGTTTGTGGAAGAGGCTTTTTGTCAGTTTTGTGGTGATGTTGAAACGGCGTTTCATGTGGTCTTCTTTTGTACCTCCTTGGAGGGGGTGAGATCATGGATGGGTGGGGTTATCAGACTGTTGGGGGGGGGGTCGTTTGCCGCTTTTAAGGGCTTTACTACTAGATGTCAAGGGAGTGCCTAGGGATGTGGGAAGGGCTATAATGTATATCATAGTAGATTATCTGGATATCTCATGGGGAATGAGGGGATTAAGGGGTGAAACGAGGATAAAAGAGTTGGTGGCTAGATTCTATAGGATGAAGTGTAGGAATATGCTGGTTTATGGGGCGTCCTGGGAAAAAAGTTTCCCGGAAGGATACAGGAACCTCACTGTGGGCTTCCTTTGTCGGGGTCCCTGAGGATGGAGAAAGGGGTGGTCTCCTTATGGGGGGATGTAAAGGGGGAGTGGTTTTTTTTTTTTTTTTCCTCTGGAGTTTGTGGTGTGTAAGAGGAAGGCAGTAACAGTTTGGTATGGATGGTACGCTATGTTTCACGAGAATGTCTGTCATAGTGAGATATAAGTGTAGCTTACAAGGTTAATTTTTTTAAACCTGATGGTTATGTTCACTGTGTTAAAAAATTTCCTTGATAGCCAGGATACCGAGCCCTTAGGATCTTGTTTTTAAGTAATCAGTTTGGCAAGCTGGTTTCAACAAAAAAATTTCTGACGTACATGTCTGTTCTCTTGGGACGGGCAAAATACAGCGGCCCTTATACTTACTACTTGTCTTGTATTATGTTTAACTTCTATTGTCTGCTGGAGGTTGTATGTGGTAATTTTTAAGTGTATGTATAGGTCTTGGGTCTATACCATGTTTATTACGGGGTTATACCAAAAAAGTCTTGTGGACAAGAATTTCGGTTTACATACATATGTGGGGGTTTAATTTATGTGTAGGGTTTGGTTTTAAACCCTTTTGATGTGCCGAGGTTTTTGTTATAAAGCCTTGTTTTGGGTTATTTTATTATTGTATGTTACATGTATGTTGTTCTGTTTTCTGTACCTGAATTATTGCACTTGATGGTTTAACATATTAATAATATTAAAATACTGTTTCTCTATGGTTATTGTGCATAAGGAATCATACGTTCCTTCCGAATTCCTATTGGTTAGGATATAATGTAACATAACTTAACTAATATTCTGTACCATGTCATAGCGGGTATGTTCGGGTTTTGTTTTGTTTTATAGTTATGGTAGCTTTGGTTAGGGTCTTTTTACTTTACTGACATGATATGTGTAGTACATATATTGTGTGTTAAAGGTGGTTATGGTTTTAGTCATGTGTGACAATTTCAACTTTAGTAACCTTGTGATGTTGTACATTTGTATGTTGTTTTTGTTGTAATAGGTTATGACAGGTACTCATTTTACATTGTTAAACCATGTACAGTTTCATTTAGGTGTGTTTTCTTTGGTTACAATGGCGTGGCGGCTACTATTAATGACTGTTATACTTTAGTGAGGTTTGTCTCAGCGTGTATTGTTTGCTATAACAGGATGTTGTTATAATACTTGTTACCTCCAGGAATAACCTGGTACTAGTAGCACAAGACTGTTTTTGAATTCCTGTACTATTATTATGTATCCTTTGTACTTTTGTACGGTTTTTAATCAAAATATAAAAAAATACCATCATCACTCACACCATCACTCACACCATCACTTACCCTCCTGGTGGTTGCAGCTTGTGGATCACGTCACATGCATGACTAACACCATCATCACTCACACCATCACTCACACCATCACTTACTCTCCTGGTGGTTGCAGCTTGTGGATCACGTCACATGCATGACTAACACCATCATCACTCACACCATCACTTACTCTCCTGGGGGTTTTGTAGCTTGTGGATCACGTCACATGCATGACTAACACCATCATCACTCACACCAACACTCACCCCCATCCTTACCCTCCTGGTGGTTGCAGCTTGTGGATCACGTCACATGCATACTAACACCACCCATCACTCACACGATCACTCCACACCATCACTTACCCTCCGGGTGGTTGTAGCTTGTGGATCACGTCACATGCATGACTAACACCATCATCACCACACCATCACTTCCCCCTCCTGGGGGTTTGTAGTTTGTGGATCACGTCACATGCATGACTAACACCATCATCACTCACACCATCACTCACACCATCACTTACCCTTCTGGTGGTTGTAGCTTGTGGATAAACGCCCACATGCATGACTAACGCCATCATACTCAACAACCACACTTACCCCCTGGTGGTTGTAGCTTGTGGATCACGTTACATGCATGGACTAAAAACCATCATCACTCACCCCATCACTCACACCATCACTTACCCTTCTGGTGGTTGTAGCTTGTGGATCACGTCACAAGCATGACTAACACCATCATCACTCACACCATCACTCACACCATCATTTTACCCTTCTGGTGGTTGTAACTTGTGGATCCACGCCCACATGCATGACTAACACCATCATCACTCACACCATCACTTACTCTCCTGGTGGTTGTAGCTTGTGGATCACGTCACATGCATGACTAACACCATCATCACTCACACCATCACTTACTCTCCTGGTGGTTGTAGCTTGTGGATCACGTCACATGCATGACTAACACCATCATCACTCACACCTCACTTACTCCCTGGTGGTTGTAACTTGTGGATCACGTCACATGCATGACTAACACCATCATCACTCACACCATCACTTACTCTCCTGGTGGTTGTAACTTGTGGTCACGTCACAAGAAATGACTAACACCATCTCACTCACACCATCACTTACTCTCCTGGTGGTTGTAGCTTGTGGATCACGTCACATGCATGACTAACACCATCATCACTCACACCATCACTTACTCTCCTGGTGGTTGTAACTTGTGGATCACGTCACAAGCATGACTAACACCATCATCACTCACACCATCACTCACACCATCACTTACCCTTCTGGTGGTTGTAACTTGTGGATCACGTCACATGCATGACTAACGCCATCATCGCTCACATCGCTGAGGATCACCTCCACAAACTTGTGTGTTACTGGCAGAGGCTGTAACTCTCCCGGGGATACTTCTGCTGGTACTCTCACCGCTGTAATGATGCGCCATAGTGACATAACACACCATGACTTTCATTATACCTACAACAATGTCAGTATCATCAACTACACACCTGTAGTGATTCACCACACATACCAACACACAGGTTTCACATCACTCACACACACCAACACTCATGTTTCTCATCACTCACACACCAACACTCATGTTTCTCATCACTCACACACCAACACTCAAGTTTCTCGTCACTAACACACACCCCAACACTCATGTTTCTCATCACTCCCAACACACCAACACTCATGTTTCTCATCACACACACACACCAACACTCATGTTTCTCATCACTCACACACACCAACACTCATGTTTCTCGTCACTAACACACACACCAACACTCATGTTTCTCATCACTCACACACACCAACACTCATGTTTCTCATCACTCACACACACCAACACTCATGTTTCTCATCACTCACACACACCAACACTCATGTTTCTCATCACTCACACACCAACACTCATTTTTCTCGTCACTAACACACACACCAACACTCATGTTTCTCATCACTCACACACACCAACACTCATGTTTCTCATCACTCACACACACCAACACTCATTTTTTTCATACACACACACACACCAACACTCATGTTTCTCATCACTCACACACACACCAACCTCATGTTTCTCATCACTCACACACACCAACACTCATTTTCTCATCACTCACCACACACCAACACTCATGTTTCTCATCACTCCACACACCAACACTCATGTTTCTCATCACTCCCCAACACACCAACACCCCATGTTTCTCACACTCACACACACCAACACTCATGTTTCTCATCACTCACACACACCAACACTCATGTTTCTCATCACTCACACACACCAACACTCATGTTTCTCATCACTCACACACACCAACACTCATGTTTCTCATCACTAAACACACACCAACACCATTGTTTCTCATCACTCCCCACACACCAACTCTCATGTTTTCATCACTCACACACACCAACACTCATGTTTCTCATCACTCACACACACCAACACTCATGTTTCTCGTCATAACACAAAACACCAACACTCATGTTTCTCATCACTCACACTCACCACACACCAACACTCATGTTTCTCATCACTCACAACACACCAACATTCATTTTCTTCATCACTCACACACACACACACACACACACACACACACACACACACGAACACTCATGTTTCTCATCACTCACACACACCAACACTCATGTTTCTCATCACCACACACACACCAACACTCATGTTTCTCATCACTCACACACACACACACACACACACCAACACCAATGTTTCTCATCACTCACACACAAAACCAACACTCATGTTTCTCATCACTCAACACACACACCAACACTCATGTTTCTCATCACTCACACACACACCAACACTCATGTTTTTTCTATCACTCACCACACACCAAACACCATGTTTCTCATCACCCCACACACACACCAACACTCATGTTTCTCATCACTCAAACACACCCCCAACACTCATGTTTCTCATCACTCACACACACACCAACACTCATGTTTCTCATCACTCACACCCCACCAACACTCATGTTTCTCGTCACTAACACACACACCAACACTCATGTTTCTCATCACCCCACACACACACACCAACACTCATGTTTCTCATCACTCACACACACCAACACTCATGTTTCTCATCACTCACACACACACACACGAACACACTTGTTTCTCATCAATCACACACACACAACACTCATGTTTTCCATCACTCACACACACACACACACCAACACTCATTTTCTCATCACTCACACACACACACACCAACACTCATTTTTCCACCCAAAACACCACACACACCAACACTCATGTTTTCTCATCACTCACACACACACACACCAACACTCATGTTTCTCATCACTCACACACACACCAACACTCATGTTTCTCATCACTCACACACACACCAACACTCATGTTTCTCATCACTCACACACACACCAAAAACTTCATCTTCATCACTCACACACACACCAACACTCATGTTCTTCATCACTCACACACACACCAACACTCATGTTTCTCATCACTCACACACACAACCCAACACTCATGTTTCTCATCACTCCACACACACACCAACACTCATTTTTCTCATCACTCACACACACAACACACACCAACACTCACGTTTCTCATCACTCACACACACACCAACACTCAAAATTTCTCATCACTCACACACACACCACAACTCATTTTTTCACATCCCTCACACACACACCAACACTCATGTTTCCTCATCACTCACACACACACCAACACTAAATGCTTCTCATCACTCAAAACACACACCAACACTCATGTTCTCATCACTCACACACACACCAACACTCATGTTTCTCATCACTCCCCAACACACACCAACACTCATGTTTTCATCACTCACACACACACCCAACACTCATTTTTTCTCATCACTCCACACAAAACACACACACACACACTCACGTTTCTCATCACTCACACACACCCCAAACCCACTCATATTTCTCATCACTCACACACACACCAACACCATGTTTCAAACATCACTCCACAACACCCCAAACCACTCATGTTTAACATCACTCACACACACACACCCACACACACACACACACACCACCACACACACACACACACTGGCCACATAAAGGAGCAGGCAAAGAAGGAGATTGAAAATCATCACGGAAATAGGTGAAGAATGGACGAGATTGAAATTTTCAGAGAAAAGTGGGGTACTCGAAGGGAGAAAACGACCGATCAAGCTGATTCTCAGGACGGAAACAGTGGCGGAACAGGATCCTCCAAGAGAAACCACGATTGAAATACTCGGAAGAGTACAAGAGGGTGTTCCTAGACAGAGACAGAACAAAATCAGAACGACAGCAGCTGAGGGAGAGGACAAAAAAGCGAAAGGAGCTAGGAAAAGAGACAAGGAGGGAAATCAGCAGAGTCAGTCAGAGCAGGACAGAACAGCAAGGGCAAGCACACACACAACTACTCTCAGAACCATACAACCTATCACACCATCCCAACACACACTACAATCCATACCCACAGCCTCCACCCAACACCGAGCTATAGAATCCCACAGTATGCCACCAGGTCTCCCCACCCTCACGGGCCCCCCAAACCACAGTGTTTGGAAAGGAAACTGAAGGTATGGTACACAAACGCTGATGGAATAACAAATAAGTGGGAGGAGTGGCACGAAAGAGTCAAAGAAGCATCACCGGACATCATAGCTCTCACAGAAACCAAGCTTACAGGTATGATAACAGATGCCATCTTTCCAATGGGATACCAAATCCTGAGGAAAGACAGAGGGAACAGGGATGGTGGAGGAGTGGCGTTGCTGATCAAAAATCGCTGGAATTTTGATGAGCTGGAGAGAGGAGATAGCGAGAAGAAAGTGATTACATAGTGGGAACACTTCACTCTGGAGGTCCCAAGGTGGTAATAGCAGTGATGTATAACCCACCACAGAACAGCAGGAGGCCAAGGCAAGAGTACGACGAGAGCAATAGAGCGATGGTTGACACACTGGCTAGAGTGGCCAGAAGAGCTCATGCATGCAGGGCAAAGCCCTGATCATGGTGACTTTAACCACAAGGAATCGATTGGGAGAACTTGGACCCACATGGGGGCCAAGATACATGGAGGGCTAAGATGATGGAGGTGGTACTGGAGAACTTCATGTACCAACACGTAAGGGACACTACAAGAGAGAGAGGTGAGGATGAACCAGCAAGGCTGGACTTAGTATTCACCTTCAGTAGTGCAGATATCTAGACATCACATATGAAAGACCCCTTGGGCCATGACCATGTGGTTTTAAGCTTCGAATACACAGTAGAGCTACAAGTGGAGGGAGAAGCAGGAAGGCCAGGACGAATGAAGCCAAACTACAAGAAAGGGGAATACACAGGAATGAGGAACTACCTGAACGGGGTTCAGTGGGACAGAGAACTGGCAGGGAAGCCAGTTAATGAGATGATGGAATATGTAGCAACAAAATGCAAGGAGGCTGAGGAGAGGTTTGTACCCAAGGGTAACAGGAGTAATCAAAAAGCCAGGATGAGCCCATGGTTTACCCAAAGGTGCAGGGAGGCAAAAACCAAGTGTGCTAGGGAATGGAAGAAATATAGAAGGCAAAGGACCCAGGAGAATAAGGAGAACAGTCGTAGAGCCAGAAACGAATATGCACAGATAAGAAGGGAGGCCCAAAGACAATATGAAAATGACATAGCAGCGAAAGCCAAATCTGACCCAAAACTGTTGTACAGCCACATCAGGAGGAAAACAACAGTCAAGGACCAGGTAATCAGCTAAGGAAGGAAGGAGGAGAGACAACAGGGAAATGACCGTGAAGTATGTGAAGAACTCAACAAGAGATTCAAAGAGGTGTTCACAGAGGAGACAGAAGGGACTCCAGAAAGACGGAGAGGTGGGGCACACCACCAAGTGCTGGACACAGTGCACACAACCGAGGAAGAAGTGAAGAGGCTTCTGAGTGAGCAGATACCTCAAAGGCAATGGGGCCAGATAACATCTCCCCATGGGTATTGAGAGAGGGGGGCAGAGGCGCTATGTGTACCCCTAACAACAATATTCAATACATCTATCGAAACAGGGAGATTGCCTGAGGCATGGAAGACAGCAAATGTAGTCCCAATCTTTAAAAAAGGAGACAGACATGAAGCATTAAACTACAGACCAGTGTCACTGACATGTATAGTATGCAAAATCATGGAGAAGATTATCAGGAGAAGAGTGGTGGAACACCTAGAAAGGAATGATCTCATCAACAGCAGCCAGCATGGTTTCAGGGACGGAAATCCTGTGTCACAAACCTACTGGAGTTCTATGACATGGTTTACAGCAGTAAGACAAGAGAGAGAGGGGTGGGTGGATTGCATTTTCTTGGACTGCAGAA